AACGCCCAACAAAGAAACTGATGACAAGTCAGTCTTTGAAAGCCCCTTATAATAAAAAATAAACATCTCATAATTTTTACAAAAATGCATTTACGTAAGCCTGTTTTCATTTCAAAGATCACACCCTTCTGTCAGTGGCTGCCGTCCAAGCGGCTTGAATTGAGTCATTTCAGAGAAGGAGGAGAAATTAGCTGGAAGCGTGACGTGTTCCTGTCTAACATTCATTTTCAAGTCGAGCCTCTCCTAAGAGTAGGGCTGCTGGTGTCCAATATTGAATGTCAAAATTAAAACAAAGAGAAGTCACGTGTAATACTATTCTATTCTAAAAGAAATTCAGGCATATGTTTACAGCAGGATGCTTGAGAGTTATAGTATAGGGCTTGAAAACTCATTCCACTGCAGCCACACTGACGGGGCTACCTGCATGTGTCTGACCACATTTGTTTATCGGCACAGACATCGGCCGCTGCCGATTAAATAAAAAATGCCAGATAATCAGTCAAAATTATATTTAAGACATTCTAAAGCTGAAATTGAGATTATTGAATTTTGAAACTATTGACCTTTGTAAGACCCCATGGACACCCTGCATATACTATATCCACATTCTGCACTGACTTCTGAATTACAAGTGAAAACAACAATGCTTGCAAACTGATACCACAGTGTAGTGATTCAAGACGGTTCATCAAAGCTGTCACACCCTCTGGTAAAGAAGAAGCAATACATCTTCTATTTCTTGTTTGTTTGAGGTGAAAAAAAACCTGACTTATAGGAAAGAACAATGAAAGCTGCCATGACATGACAAATAACAGAGTGACACGGACACCACCTACGGAAGCTCAAACAATCCAAGAAACGAGCGTCACAGCACTGACCGTCCTGTCTAACAGCTGATATCTTCACATCAGTGAAGGTCTCGGGAAACTGAGCTCCCACTTGTCGCAGCGAGCGAACGCAGCTTTCATAGAGAGACTGAGGACTGGAGGCGTTGCCTTAACGCTGCATGTTGTCAGCTTAATGCTTGTGCTATCTGTGGTAACAGTGCAGGGAGCCTTTACACGGCTTTCATCCATGATTTCGCTTGAAGGCCCAAGGCGAGGAGGAAATCCTCTCCCCTCCAACCACAACTGACAGTGCCGTGAGAACCAGCATGGTGAGAAAATGTATAAGGACGCTGGGAGGAGGATAGACGGCAGGCACTCCTTTCACATGTAACTGTAAAGACAGACTCGTACATCTTTTTGCTTGCCGTGTCAAAGTGGAGTCAAAGTCAGGTGTGCTTCTCACAGACTCCAATGCCCCATCAGCATGCAAAACCCAAGAAGACTGTCTGAGCCTGTCTGACAGCCCTAAAGCCCTGTGTGCAATGCAGTCACATCCAGACTGCTCATTTCCAAGAGGCAGAAACTGAGTAGGTAATATGCTTTGGCACCTTTGTGAAGGGCTGAGGGTCGGTAGCATGTTATCAAATCTAGTCCAATATCAAATCAGCCCACCCCATTTAGCTCAGGACAATTAACGCAGGGGGCAGGTTTATTCCTAATAAGAAGATTATTTATTGTTGACTGTTGTTGAATCCTGAATGGAACTGGCTCAAGAACCAGAGCTAATCTACTGGAAAAGGGGTACTCCTGGTCCACATTTCCCTTCCCAGTAGTTCCCATTTGGAACCACAATTTCAGTGTCTTCTAACCATTCATTTTCCCTCTGCTTACTATCTTACCATCACATTTTAGCTTCATGGATGTACGCATGCGCTACATGCAGGAACCTGACTACAAAGCAGGCTGATACTGAAACAAGATATTACCGTTATGCAGTATTTTTATTGGGAATTGTATTGTTTTAACAGTATTATGTTTTTAAATTAAAGCTGCAGTAGGTAGCTTTTATAAAAAATAACTTTTCTCATTCCCAGGCCATCAAATATAGAGACTCAACAATTAACTGTCTTCAAGCCACTAACCGTGGAAGCGACTTTCCCTCTTTCTCGGCTGATTGGTTGTTTCCCTTCAGGCCTGGTGGATTCTTGCAAATCCCATTAGGAGCACTAGGAGGAGTCAGAGGAACCTGATTGTTTCACAGATTATCTGTCTCATGTACTACTGTCAGGATATAGTGAAAGATATGACAGAAAGTTAGTTTAATACAAATTTCCTACAGCAGCTTTAAAGAATTTTTTTTTGAGGCCACTTGCATACCACCAATGGTACCATAGTCCGAGTGGTCTACCCTACAATGTGTCTAATATGCAATTAGCGCTCTTAGACAAGTCTTGCAGGGTTTAAATACTCTACTTATGGCCAATAGAATAATCAGTAGATAGGAAATAAATTCTTGCTGCAGGACCCAATGGCACAATCTGAGAGAATCATCACCAAGCAGAGCCAGAGAATTTCTGTAGTGACTGCTGCAGCTTTTCAAGCCTTTACGGCACCGGTTTGGTGGTCCAGAGAAGTCACAGACCAGTTGCATGAGCTGTAAATCTTCTCAGGGATGATACTCATTGCGACACGACTCAGTGAGTAAGACACACACGGAGAAGATGAGACGAGAGAGTCGGAGAAAAGTAATTTCACATGGCGTGCTCTAAAAAACGGGAAAGCAGACAGTGAAAACAGAGCGTTTGTGTTTTTGATCTTACTTTAGGGATTCCTAAACATCTTGATCTATCTGGTAGAGGTTGAAAATGCACTCACAGTAACTTATGCACTGAAGTAACTAACTAGTTACATAATGACCAGTGCTGGCTAAAGCATGAAAACCGTGCTATACATTTTGCTCCTTGCAAAAGAAAAAGAAAGAGAAATAAAGGATTTGATATGAGATGCAGGAGCATCAGAGCTCAGCCAAGTATTTTGCCAACTACAAGTGGAAATGTAGACCAGAACCCAAAACTCTGTCTTTTCTCTTTTTTCCCTTCTTTCTTTCCTTCATCTTCCGCTTTACTGAACTTGTAACAACCCGCGACCCAAAACCTACCGACCCCTCCCCTGTGCCTGCGAGGTCTGTTCTGCTTCTCAAAACCCTCACACTTTCACCCTGTGTGTGTGTGTGTGTGTGTGTGTGTGTGTGTGTGTGTCTCACAGCCACAATTGGGTTACTCACATCTGTTCAATGAAATCCAACAATGGTGGAGGAGCGAAAGTCAGAGAGAGCGAGAGAGAGACAACAGACTCCCCAATTATCTCACTCCTTCTGCAACAACCACTCCTTCTACACCCCCCACCCGTATGCGTGCGCACACGCACACGCACACACACACACACACTCATATCTTTCTATCTCTCCTATGTTGAAGCCAAAAACCGAAAAGCCCTGGGGACTTTTGACTATTGACGAAACTAAACACTCGTACAAGAGAGGGGGAGAGGAAGAGTGAGAGGGGTAGCGACCCCAGGGAGCAGGGAGAGAGAGAGAGAGAGAGGGGGGGGGGAGCTACAGAGGGAGGACAACTGAAGTGAACTCTGCTCATTAGGCCTTGAAATATTCCATTCTTTCCACAGAATCAAGGTCTCGCTCTCTGTTTCTTCGTGTCAGGAGTGTGCAGCTGCTGTGTGCCTTCTGTGTGTGTGTGTGTGTGTGTGTGTGTGTGTGTGTGGGGTGATAGTGGATAAGAGCTAAAGAATGCAGATAACTCAGTGGTGCGATGGTCATTTGCAGCTGCTCTACACCATCATACTGTTGAATCTCAACCACAACACACAACACACACACACACTTTCTCTCTGTGTTAGACTGGCAAAAGCTTCCAAACTAGCACCTCATATTGTGCTACTGCTTTCTCATGGTGCCATATCAGCACGCAACTGGGCTTATAATGATAACTGCAGTTTCCAATCTTTTGACCTACTCTACACAACACATTTTATAATACATGTGAGGTTGCAGTCCTATTTAACCTGGATGAATAGGAGCATAAAGGCAACATGTTCCTGCCCAGAGGAAAGCAACCACTGTGCTGGGTTACTGCTGAGAACAATTCATTCCAGTCCCTATGTTTAAAGAAACACATCTGCATATTTCACCTGACTCTACTGTGGGGATTTTACACTCACATGTTACTTAAAGGCTCTACGCTGTGATCAAAACATGAGGACTGGAAGCTACTATCACTCACACACAGACACAAAACTAAAACAGCTGTATCATCAAAGTGCTTATTTTTCCTACATCTTAAACTTTACAGTTGTGCATGTAAATGTGGGTTTATCTGAATTTAAAGGCACAATCGATCATTTAAAACAAATGGGTTTGGCCTTTAACAAATCAGTCCAGGCTTAATCACTGGCTTTGCTGACTTTCTTGGCCAAAGCACTGTTGCTCCTTTAAACATCAACCCCCCACTTTGAGCAGCACCCACACAAGTCACAAATCAGCTCAGAAAACTACAGTTCCATTCCTCACATCCACATTTTACTCAAAGTTTATGCTGCACAGTATACATGAGCCGCTAAGACTAATCAAACTTCAATGTAGGTACGCTAAAAATACCGAGATGTGGTGCTTTGCAGTCTACATTTGGCCTAAAATCCTAGACCTTGACCTGGAAATGCAAAGCGTTGTGCTGTGCAAACATAGCTGGCGTCTTTTGAGATGGATCTGCCCATATTGCAAAAGAATCAAATAAATCTTGTCTGGTCAACATCTGGTGGACTGCTGTTGGACAATAGGAGGGAAGTAATATTCTGAATGTAGTATATGAGACGTCCAGATAGAAGGGAATAACCTTTTATCTGCTTCAGAGTCACACAGCATAGATACAGAGAGGTGGGTTTTTTGGGTCAACTATGATTTAAGGCTTGATGGTTGTTAAAAAGCCAAACACACAGATGCCAAAGCAGCTGATTGTACAGTAATGCAGGCACCTGACTGAGCCATAATGCCATTTAAAGCACCCTCCTCTATTACACTACACGGGGAGTTTATAGCCCTGAACCCTCTAGATAAAAGCCCAAACATGACACGCTTGCACAGTGCATCCTCCCCGGCCATACCTGTGTCCTGTCTGAACTGGTGCATGGACTGGAGATCTATGATGTACGGCGAGAGCCGGCTGTCCACCTGGCCGAGCACCACGCTCCCTCCGCGGGGGTCGCTGCTCCTGATGGCCGCCTCTATCTGGTGGGAGACGGCGGGGCCGTAGGGCCGCCACCGGCCGTGTTCGTTGAGCCATTCCCACACCACCACGGCAGAGGCCAGGAGCATGTTGTTACTGTTGGCCCTGGAGAGGAAACAAATGATGAAATACCGCGAAAACACTTATTTGTTAGCTCAAAGTGTCGCTAAGCCCCCTCGGAGATGAGTGGGGGGATTTTGCTAAAATAAAGCCTGCATGCTGGAAGCAGAGGCCAACCACACAACAACAACAGTCTTCTTTATTATCTCTACCGGGTTTAACCTTGCCCTTTCTGGGTGTACGGGTGTCTTCCTCCCTCTTGATGAATGAATAAAAGCAGACTTTTAGCCCAGAGCTAAAAAACAATGCTTATTTTCTCTTACATGGAGCCGCGGCTGAGCTAACGCCGGGAGAAGACACATTCTCCTACGAAGATCCTCGCATGGCCCGGCGGAGAAGGAAATCACGGTCCTCGCTCGACTGCCTTTGTTGTACCACCGTAATACGACGTGAAAACAGCCGCAAACGGAGCAGACAGCGAACCGGCCTGACTGTGCTTTATAGTCGCTAGCTCCTCGCTCCAGACACACAGATAGCTTCTCCGGCGAGGGGTTTCTCTCCAGCGGCGGCCTTTTAACGTTTTGTGGTATTCTTGCCTCGGTCGGAGAGACCCCTCGGTACGGGGAAAATGCGGTGTAAAATAACGCTTCGGTTGTTGTTTCTCGGACCGTGTGAGCTCAGGAATGTCCGCGTACGAATCCCGACAGCAGCAGCCTCGGCAGGGAGTAGGTAGCAACAGCTAAGTGTGTGTTTTTCTCCCGTAGTTTGGGGCGTAGCACACCGAAATGTTGAGAAAGTAGTGGCTCCCGACGGCGCAACCTCAGTAGCAGCCCGGCTCTCCTATCAGAACAGGTTCAACCGGTCTGGATCCTGGCAACACAACACTGCACATCCACACCACCAACACACACCACCATGTGTACCACAATGGGCCCAAAGGCAACGCTTCTATGTGCTGTTATTAAGAGTTACAGGCTGAACTCCTTTCAGCTTTCTACCACAGTGGTAGTACCGGTCACAGTGAAGGTCCGGGTACTTTTTCTGATTGAAAATCTACCATTTATAAAGAAGGGAACAACACACAGAGTATGGCTCGATGTTTTCCGTTCTTAATTTTCTAAACAAAAAACTGAAACCAGAGCTTTCTTTTTTTAATTTCTAATTGGCTCATTTTCGGGAAACAGCACGATTATGGTTTTCTCATTTAAAACCTAAAACTCATTGGTGTGCACTGAGCAATAACACGCTGCTGGTATTGTGCACATTGGTTAGGCCATATGCGCCAGTTTGTGTGTCCATTCAATCACTTTCACCACTGCACAGAAAGGGGCACACTTTCACCTGCAGGTCACTTCTGGGTCCACTCTGCTAGTCCACGACTCTTGGAGCAAAATCCAGGATCGTCACAGACCTTCTCTTCTTCCCTGTCGTCCTCTCGGCTTCACCATGGCTCTTTCTTTCTCCTCCTCTACCCCAGGTGGTCCCACAAAGCCAATTTCTCCTAATAGTAAGATCCAAACAGAGAAGACCTAGATTCCCTTTATCAGGGATAGGTTCATGTTGAATGAAATAAACTCTGCCATGTTTGTCCCAATGCTATCCTTTCGGGTACATCTTCACGCTGTTGTTGGGAAAAACTTTGTGAGGGGACTGAGGGGGACAGCAGTCGCCCGGCTCCTGCCCCTCACCACGCCCAGAAAGCCCCATGGTGATGGACAACCAATAGAAAGAGGGGCTCCAAAGACATTTTAAGCCAGGGTAGGGTCCCCCCTGTTGATCCAAGCACCGTGCAACACCACAGACTTCTCCTTTGAACTTTTATTACATTGGGTTAACCTACTTTTGTTTGCAATCTTTAATCCATTTTACACAACCGGTGCAGTATGATTAAAGACATGTTCTACTTATGGCAGTGATGTTGTAATAAAATGACACTGAGCTACTGAGACCCGTATTAAGACTGAGGTTTGCCACAGCCGCTTGTGTTTTTGCAGGTGGTCACATGCTGCCACCTGGTGGACATATTTGAAACGTCACATCAAAACATTTTTTTACGACAGGTTAAAGCCGAAGTTTAACGCAGCAGAGGCAGTTTTTGAGAGCGGGAATACAATTGCGTCGTCAGTAAATGCTAAAAGATTACAGTAACTACTGTACTGTGCTATTAACTATCTATTATTATAATTATTAATATCTATTGGAAATTCTATATATATGTTCCTACGTATTTCCCTCGTATTAAAGCTTCTTATCTCTGTTTAGGACGACGTCGATTCAGTAGGGCGGGAGTGTAGCAGAGCTTGCTTTTACTTAGACAATAGTCAAAAATACACCATAACAGTGGTAAAACGTCGGCGACAAACATTTAGGCCAATGTGACGTCATGTACGATCGTCACTGGCTCCATAGCTCAGGGGTTAGAGCACTGGTCTTGTAAACCAGGGGTCGCGAGTTCAAATCTCGCTGGGGCCTGACGATCTTTTCATTTTCTTTCTTACATTCCAGCCCACATATCACATATATTTTGGCGAAACGTAGGAAACTTCTGTTTCTAAACTATATAAATATTGTTTAAATGAAACTAAATGAATGCTAAGAGCCTTTAAATGATAGCTTTCTGACGTTACATATATATCAATATTCTTTACTATTTATTCAAAATACTGGCATCTATTTTGAGAATCGTACATCATCTTTGGATTTTGTGGATGATGATGAATTGTAAGAGGCTTGTCGTGAAAAGTAGAATTTCATATGATACAATTAGTTATTTGCATATCCAGATGGATAAAATATTTAATTTAGTCCTTTTTCTTTACATTTTATTGTCGTATTTTTAGTTTACAACATGCAGACACAATTAAATAATTTCACACATCTAGTAAGCCTGTATTTGAGAGGAAATGTATGTTTTCCTCCCACGTCCTTACTGCCTGTTGTAACTTAAATGATGGTAACAAAAAGGGAATGTGAAGTTGTAAGCGCTCGGTATACTCGCCGTTCTCGATACACGTCGTTGGAGCTAATGTTAGCAAGTGTTAACAAGTCAGGTTAGTTCAGTTCAGTCCTAGCAAAAGGCTTTACCTCTTCTATTGTTAACGTTCTGGTTGTAAATGTAAATACTGGCGACTTAACCGTCGTCAGTACTTCAGGTCACACCAGGTGCAGACAGGGTCCACAGTCGATTCGTCCGTATAACTGTAAACCGGCGCATGGTTCAGACGCAGTGATACATAGCCAATAGTTAGTACAGTACAGCTCACTGTAAAATTCCATATACGATAGGAATATTCCGCTCTGTCAGAGCCCGGATAGCTCAGTCGGTAGAGCATCAGACTTTTAATCTGAGGGTCCAGGGTTCAAGTCCCTGTTCGGGCGTACGTCTTTTCTTGCGTCATCACAGTATTTTTGACCACTTCCCTAGCTTTTAGCATGAGCCACGGGTATGGAGGCCCAAAGTATGCAAAAAAATAAATGCGCAAGATAAATTATATTAATTTGAAATCTGATGAAAAGAAAAGATAAATAAACAAAAGGATCTTTCATTAACTCATTTCAAATGTTTTGTATTTTAACATTTAGAATTATTTTTTAAAATGTGGAATTATTTCTGATGTGCAAGTGATTTGAGGAGTGCTTCTGCAGTTTTTAAGGGGTAGCCTACATGGAAAGATTAAAGTGAAGCTCATTTGTGTGTGTATATCTACTTACTGAGTCAGCTGTAACACCTGACTGTTACATTGTGCAAGGAGAAGTGAATGCATTTTTGAAATGGATAGCCAATTACCAACTGTATGTGAACATGCATATTTATCCATTGCTTAGATGGTTCAATGGATAGCTTAATGTAATAGATAAACAGTTTAAATAGTTAGCTAAAAGCCTTAGAAAGAATTGTGACAAAGACAAAAGTAATTGATAAATGGGTTACTACTATTGGTAGTGGTAGCAATGTAAATGTAAACTGTATAAAAAAATATAACTCCCAGTTTAAAATCAGTTCGAATTAACACATTTAGAACATAACATGAAGTTTCAATCAAGGAGTACTTTAGTTTTTCCGACGGGGCTGTGGGGGTACATTAGAGAAAAGGGTTGGGAACCACTGACCTACATCAAATTGAGCATATAAAAGCTATGGCAAAAACACTGAACAGCAAAATATCATAATAGTATTTGATTCAAATTGTTGAAGGTCTGCTTCAATGATAATGAGAGCTTATTCAGAAATCAATAACCTTTATGGGCTCAAATTGCCCCAGAATACAATAAGCTAGTGCTGAAAAATACCACATATCTTAACTGGTTTATTTACCAAAACGTCAGCTTTTCTATTGACAGTATATGTTGTTTTCTAAAGCCATGTACTCACAAAATAGTCAAATCAAAAAATAGTTACAATAGTTATACATGTTTTCATTGGATTCTTGCAAATACCATTAGGAGCACTAGGAGGAGCCAGAGGAACCTGATTGTTTCACAAATATGACAACAAAAAGTAATAAAAAAAAAAAAAGACCTACTGCAGCTTTAAAAATGAACAACTTCTGCCCACGTCTGGTTTAAGCACCACCTATTCCAAAAATAGATACTGATACAGATAATTGGCACATGTTAAACAACTATTTCAGGTCAACAGTTTGTACATAAGCTTACCCTTGGTATATACATGATATACTGTATCATCAAATACAATGTCATATTCAGGAGAAAGCTGAAATCAGTACAGGTCCTTTACATTAAAGTTCACATAGCAACAAGTAATATGCACAGAGTACAACAAATATAATACAAGAAAAACACCCACCCAGTAGACCTGGATCAGAAAACCACCACCTGATGAACTGAGTACATTTTGTTCAATTCACTGATATTGTTGTTGATCTTGTTATTGTCTACTCTTTTTGTGTGGAACATGATCAGTAATTGTTTATTTAGTGAAATGCAGAAAAACCCCAGACTCACTTGTGTACGATTATTTTTAGAACAACATAGCTTGAAAAGCACAGGTGTGATTAAGATCATTAATACATTCCATTAAGTGTAGCAGGTCCAGGGTCTTCAGAAACCTTATTAGTGACAGATTTTCCTGCAAGGAGATGTCTGCTGTGAAAAGGGTCTATTACATTAGCTGCTGTTGGTGGTTTGGTTATGTATTGTGTGAAGTGGTTTAGTCTGTTTGGTGCTGTTAGCAGTGGGGGTCTCGTTGGCGGTCTCCTTGTTTGACTTGGCTTTCCAGTTGGCGGTGCAAACAGCCAGCACCATGATGAGAAGCACAATCCCCACACCCATACAGTACCCGTGTTGAAAGAGGAACCAAGAGGAACCTGGAGAAGAATCTGAGGAAATACAGAGAGACACAGGAAATGAAAGTGAGGCCACTTACTTGATTTCTTGAGAGCCGTTGGTAAAATCTGTATTTAATGAAATCACAACTTAATCACACTTTTCCTAAAACCAGCTGCTCTGCATCTCCTCTGGTTGTATTATGTATGTTATGCTAAGTCTTTCAGGATGGTAAAGTTAGGATGTGTTAAATATAACAAATAATGGGGAATTCTGTCGCACAAGCATCAGCATATTGGCTCCTTATAGCCTCCTTATATCCCCCTATTTGCATCCAAATGTGCATCCAAATGTTTATTTATTTAAGGCCCCCTCGACAATTACGTATCCATGTTAAATTGTGCCAATCCAACCCCAAAAAGGTGATTTTTGAATTTGTTGTTTTGGACTGTGCAGATATTTGCGAACTTCCATCTATGTTTTTAACTATAAAATACAATCCTAACAACCCACATCAACAGTGTGCAGATCAAAGCTGGAGGATGCCTACAAGCCAGATGGCTATTAGCACTGCCAGCTTCATGAGTATGTTGCATGGGTGATACAAAGGGAGT